AGGTAATTTGAAGACCAGCACAGGCAGATGCCAACGCAAGGCAGAACGAAGGGAAGGGGTGAGTGAGGTTCAAGGGTTGTGCATTTGTGACTCCGGCCTAGGCCAAGACACAGCAGGGGGCACCTGGAGGAGGAGACAGGAATTTTCTCAGGTGCCTGACCTGGTGGGGTTTAGAGGCTGAGGCTCCGGGAGCCAGTTATGAAGAGTCTATGTCCAGTGGTGGTGGGGGTGTCTCAGCCACTAGGGACAAGAGGAGGACCTCCGTTACCATGGCAACCAGTCACAGGCAAACTGGGGACGGGACAGGCGCTCGCAATTCAGCAAGGCCCAGGAGAAAGCTCCTGGGTGTCTTTGCCAGAGAGGTGGCCACGAGGCTCCTCAGCTTCCCGGGCTCCTGAGGTCCAGGGTGCCCTGTGACTTGAGGTGAGATTCTCAGCTGCCCACGGGGAGGGACCTGCAAACACCACCCCCACAGCCCTGGGGAGGGGCAAGGCCACACATGGCTTACGTCCTCAGGAGGAGGCTCCAGTTGGGACACTGCAGCCCTTCCCGGGCCAGCCTCTAAGTTGTGCCTCTAGAGTGTAAAGCAACCCTGCTGATGGGTGTCGGCCTTATGTGGGTGTGCCTTTCCCCAGCTGCACTGATGGAACCCCTATGGGATGCAAAGTACCGAGGAGAGAGGTATGATAAGGAAATATTAATGTTTAAAAATTATAGGCATTACTGACTTCTTAAAAATAGGAACAGAAATGACCCATAATATCACCATATTAAGCCGTTATATTATCTTTATTCTGGATTCCCATGTGCATGAGTTCTTATGGAGTTATGCTCATAAATGTGGTTTTGTGTGGCTTATTCTTATATGGCTATATTGCCTTTAGAAATTATTCTTTATTTTTTCAGGCCTAGGTGTGGGATGCTTAGGCTATGAGAAATTGGATTTTAGCAGTTCAAGGAGAGAGCCATTTAGAATGAGGAGCAAATGCTATTACTCCGTTTCTGTTTTGTTTGAAGGAATATTTTACTCTACTACTGTAATGGCCAAGGCAATTTCTCCTGAGCAGGCATTTGAGTACTGAAGAAAAATGGAATTAAAGAGGACACTGGAATTCTCAGTGCCCCTTGATGTTTAATAGCCACCAACCTGGTGATACTTCCATCCTTAGCCACCGCAGATTCTTCCAACGGGACTCTGGTCAGAAGACACTGACATGGCCGCCATGTATCACCCCAAATAGCAAGATGCTTAAGAAAGAGAGGAAAGAGAGCTCGTGCGGTTCAGACATGCACTGACAAGAACCAGTAACCTCACCGTCCTCACAGAGGAGAGGCTTCTCCCCACAGGACTGAAATCCCACAGTACAGGATGCTTCTCAATGACCATGAAGCTCCAAGGGCATTCACCAAGGTCACAGGCAGGAGTGGCTCATGCCTGCAATCCCAGTACTTGGGGGTGGGGGTGGGGAGTCTAGGCCAGAGGGAAGTCATGAGTTTGAGGGCAGCCTGGGGTACAGGGTAATATTCTGTTTCAAAACACACAGATCTAAACAGACTAGACCAGCCACCGAGCCGGCTGTTGGAAGACTCTTGCTGTGATTCTGTACAGGCAGTGTGGGACGGCTATTACTGGGTCCTTACAACCTTGAAAGATGGAGCTGGGCCATTACTAGTGTTTCAGAGGCATTATTTAGAGAAGTAAAGAGATGGAGTGTGACCCTTGAACAGTCATTTTAGTGCACATATTTATTATGAAACTAGAATTGATGCTTTTAGTAAGTTATTTCTTCCTCTAGGGAATCTCTTTAAAAACTCATGTTGAATCTACAGGTTGAAAAATTTTTTCTAGCTAGTAATATATATTATATACTTTAATTATATATATACATATATATATATGTATATATTGCTCTTGAATTCACAGTAGTGATGTTGATTTTAGTGTGAGTGACATAGGTATTAGAATTGCTTTGGAAAAGCCTGATGCAGCACAAATAAATCTCTCAGCATCATGGAGTAGAATGAGCAGTGCCTGTTTTTATCTGGAAAGTGCATGTCAATCATGAGTTTCTGATGGGTAAAGACAAGTCTATTTGGGGAATGTATGGTGGCAGAGATGTATCTGCTTAGGTCCATTTTTGTCTAACAATTTTTGTGGATCTGGGAGCAATGAAGACTCTGGAGTCATGGGCTTTGGTCATTCGTACAAATGCCACAGAGAATCTAAACCATGGGATCTTTAGGTTCCCTGCAATTCTGCACTGGAAGAAGCTCACTACATGGATACGAAGCAAAACCAAGACTTGAGGTGGGAGCTACAGCAACCTACGTGGGATAAAACTGCATAGAATGGGCGGGGTCTGGAGGTGCAGCCTCTACTATTAGATACTTGGGAAGCCAAGGCAGGGAGATTGCAAGTTCAAGGAGGGCCTCAGCAACACTGTTAAGATCCTGCCTCAAAATAATCACAAAACAATAAAGGAAAAAGAGAGCTGGGGATTTAGATCATCGGTAAATTACCTGGCTAGCATAAGCATGAGGAAGACTCTGGTTGGATCTCTAGTACAAATAAATGACTAAGCAAGTACATAGCCGTGGTGATATCTTGTTTGTACTCTAATAAATAAAGCTTGCCTGAAGGTCAGAGGGTGGAGCTAGCCACTAGTTAACCATAGGGGTCTGGAGGTCTGTACAGACAGACAGGAAGTGATATGGCTGGGTGGAGAGAGGAATATAAGGTGGGAGGAGACAGGAGCTCACTCTCTTTTTGACTGGGAAGTTGGTGAGGTGAGGTGTGGCTGTGGCTTGCTCCTTTGTCTCTCTGATCTTTTAACATTTACATGTACATCTGGGCTTTTATTATGAAGACCTATTGGAACTCATACGACACATAGCTGGCATACAATGTATGGCAAGTCCATTTCCTCGCCTTGACCTTGGACTCCAGCTATGTAACGTGCAGCTCTCCCAGAGGAGAGGAGATGAAAGACACTGTTCCATTTTTCTAGCTTCCCGTGTGACTACACTGCCGTGGTTTGAATGTCCTGCACAGACTCATATATTTGAATGCTTGGTCACCAGGAAGCATAGCCATTTGAAAGGATTGTAAGGATTAGGATGTTCCTGTTGAAGGAAGCATATCACTGGGACTGGGCCTTGAGGTCTCAGAAGCCCATGCCAAGGCCAGCGTTTCCCTCTCTGCCTGCAAACAGGATGTAGCTCTTAACTGCTTCTCCACACCATGCCTGCTGCCATGCTCCCTGCCATGGTAACAATGGACTAAACCTCTGAAACTGTAAGCCAGCCCCAAATAGATGCTTTTGTTTATGAGTTACCTTGGTCATGATGCCTTCTCATAGCAAGAGAACATGGACTAAGGCATACACCTATCTCAGAATGAAAAACGAAACATAAGCAAGATAAAGGGCTTTAAGATTCCCACTGGGAGAGGTATGTCTTTAGGTTGGAAGAAGTTCTGTTTTCTGGAAAGCTGTGCATGCATTTGATGCCCAGAACCTTGTAAGTCAAAGCACAGCTCCCTGGAGAGTTTGGAAAGCTGGGGTGGTTGAATGGGATTAAGGGCTGGGGTCAATACAATATGCTTAGTAGATCCAATGTCTTGAGCCCTAGGAGGGACGGCTGTGGATCAGAAACTGTAAGCTAGGGCTTCTGAGGGTCTCATCAGAGGCATAGTTATAATAACGTATGCACATTACGTTGTTTTGAGACAGGCTCACTATGCAGTCCAAGCTTTCACCAAACTTCTGAGTCTCCTGCCGCCACCTTTGGGTATTGGGATTACAGGGTGTGTCACCATAGCCTGCTCTGCTCCTCTTTTTGTGTGTTCCTTTGTGATGTAGACAGGGTTAGCCTCCCTGGTGTGCTTCAATGTTCCACTTACATGCAAGGTAAAGCAATCTGTGAAGTTAGCATTCACCTATGTGAATAACTCTGTCCTTAAAGTACCTCCGGGAATCCAGAGGAACAGCATTGACCTTCACCGTGTTCTCTAGAGCAGGGTCTGGGAATTAGAAGGGAATAGTAAAAGAGAAATATCACTGAAGGTGATTTAATCTCTTTCTAAAGCTAAGTGGCAGGCAATGTCAGAAGGGAGGAGATGATTTAAGAGTGGGCAGGGGAAGGGAAAGTGTGAGCAAAGGCTTTGCCAGGTCATAGGCTCACCCCAGGACCGGCAGCTTGCTAGGGATTGCTGTAAGCAGGTGTGCAGTCAACACGGCCATATGTGGGGGCCCCTCATGATGCTCTCAATACAGGGATGGAACCCTCCAAACTTGCTTAGCGTCTCTGTGTGTTCAGATCTTTAGGAGGGACCAGTCCCCCTGACCTCCACCCCAGAACATTCCACAAGAAGGCAAAAAAGTGTTGTGAAGATGTTTCATGTCAAGATGTAGTGTAGCCATCCAAAAGCAGTGGTTAGGAGCTAAGTAGCAACAGGGAAATGTTCAAGTTTCACGTTTCTGGAAAGATTTAGTCCTGGGTCTAATTTAACTGTCGACTCAAGTGACGTCTTCGAAGGTGTGCTTATGAATTTACAGATGGCTTTTCACATTGTCTTGAGTATTGTAAAAGAACCGTGGCTTCTCAAGCAGCGTGGTGAAGAAGACGTTTCATGTCAAGACTGCCGAGGCTCCTCACAGTCATCTCTGCCCGGCAGACAAGCACACCCATGCCTGATACAGGGTCAGGGCTGTCAGTCCTTGCCGGCATCAATGGGTGGCTCAGGTTGCACGCTGGTTGCCGGTCCCTCTTCCTGTATGTCTGTCCTTGCATTAAACCTTGGACTGAAATAAGTTTGTCTTCTCCACCACCTCGAAGTTGTGAGAAGCCGCAGGGAATGGCACTCACCAGAGAGTGTCTGAGCTGGGGGAGTCTTAGCTGGGTTAATGGAGCAGGAAGCCTCCCGTTGCTGATGGTGATGGATAAGAGGGTGATAGACAGGGTCCATACAAAAGCGATTTATTATTCATTTGCCTTAATAT